TCTTTTCTAATGTTAGCCTTATTCCTTTTTCCTTTCTTAGGATAGATAAATATAAAACCTTCAAACCAAATCAAGGAGCTCAGACTAGTGGAAGAGGAAGGGGAGGGAAACAGAGAAAACCAGAGAGAGGTCAGCATAGCATCTGACAACATGCAAAGTCAATGGACAATGAAGTAAACACATGAAGAGAATGGAGGGTAGGCTGTTGGAAGGAGGCCTTTAAAAAACTTTTTTTTCGTTATTGGTTTTAGAGAGAGAGGAAGCGAGAGGGAGACAGAAACATCTATGAGAGAGAACATTGATTGGCCGCCTCCTGCATGCCCCCCACTGGGGATTTAGCCCACACCCTGGGCATGTGCCCTGACCAGAAATCTAACCAGCGACTTCCTGGTGCATGGGTCGATGCTCAAGCACTGAGCCACAACGGCTGGCTGGAGGGAGGCCTTTTAAACTCAGTCAAAGTGTTCGGCCTCTTCTATGTCAGTCATTTCCAAGATGGAATAAAATGTCACATGATCACAGTGGGTCTTCTGAGTGGAAAAACATCCATAATCTATCTTTGTAGTATGACTTTGGGGGCCATAGAAAGTCCCATAATCCCATCTTTAGTTTTGCATACTTTGCCTCATGCTGGGAATTGCTCCATTCAGTGGTTCCTTTCTCAGCACATCAGGAGGTGCAGCCAGGACTCTGCAGAGTCCGGGCTGGAGATCAGGAAGGTGATACCTGGTAATCTGGGCCAGTTCACAACAGCACCCCCACTGACTACGTTGCATATCAATATAAATACGCTTTTTATGAGTGAGTGGAAACAGGGTTGGAATCTGGTCTCAGCAACCAGTGGAACCAGCACTGAGCTGAAGTGGATTTGGACGGACAGTAACCTACTGTTTGACCTTAGGGAAGTCACTGAACATCTCTGGACCTCAGAGACCTTTCAGCATTTATCCAGCTTTCCAGTTTTCAAATCCTTTTCTAAGGGATAAAGGGTGGGTTGATGAGAGCACCCAAGTGGGGAGAAGAAAGGTTTCACAGAACAGGGAAGGAGGGAGAATGGCAAAGAAAGGAGAAGCAGACACAGAAGAAGACAAATCAGACACCCGGCATCACTCCTGTGTTTATGAGTTCGGAAGGAGAAATTTGGGTCAGGAGGAATTAATCTGAACCATTTTCAAGTTGAGAGATGGACCATAAGTCACATCCACAAGTACTTGCTTGTGGGCACTAAGCGAGGCGTGGATGTTCTGGGGATACCCGGGTTCAGTGGAGTTTCGGCTCAAGCAGGGAAGACTCAGCCAGGCATTGAGCACTGGGGGACATAGGAAGGGGAGCTGAAGGAGGGAGAGCCTGGACTCTGCAGTCTTCATTAATAGACCCTGCCTGAAATTCATCCTGGGAAGGAGCCAGGGATCTGGGGTCCAAACCTCCAATCATTGTTCCTAGAAGCTGGGGAAAGAGTTTCGAAATGTACAATGAGAAACAAATAAACAAGTATTCTGGTCCTTGAGACCCCTGAGAGGGAGGGAGGCAGGGAGAGGCAGAAAGAAAAAAAAGGGGAGGGAGAGAGAGGCGCATCAGGGCTTCCTCGATGCCCAGGGGCCCTTCACAGAAGGCCTACTGGAACTGAGCACCTCAAAGACAGCAGAAGCTTCCAAGCAGCCCTGAGGTGTGGTGGGAGTATACTGGGCCCAGCACTGAGTTTCCTTCAAAAGACTTGAAAATGTCTTGAGGCCTCACCAGAATTTGGCACCAAAAAGAACCAAGTGCCACTACCAAGGAGATAATGTTATTTTATAATGAGGTGAGGGTTTATTATAAGTTTAGGGGACACTTCTCCTGAGGACACAGGGTAGAGCGACTTGAAGCTGTGTCCAGCACTCCATGAAGTGCCTGGAACCTTTCCATCTTGTCCCTTCTCCATGTTCCCCCTCTGCCCAGAGCAACGGTTCTCAATCTGTGGGTCATGATCCCTTTGGGGGTCCAATGACCCTTTCATAGGGGTCGCCTAAGACATAACAGTAGCAAAATTACAGTTATGAAGTAACAAGAAAAATAATTTTATGGTTGGGGGTCACCACAACAGAAGGAACTGAATTAAAGGGTCCAGGCATTAGGAAGGTTGAGAACCGCTGGCCCAGAGGATCCAGGGAGTGAGGAGGGTGGAGGTAGAATGAGAGTTCTGGTCTCCAGCCTGGCAAGACAAGGTTCTCCTCACCCAACTTGTTGTTTCAAGAGGCAGGGTGCCCTTTGTGACCTCCAGCGACCCAGAGGAAATTTCCTTTATTAGTGTTGAAGTCTTTCTTTCTTTTTTTTATTAGAGAAAACAACAGTTTTGTCTGAAGGCCAGGGTGTGTGTGCATGCATGCCCACACTAGTATCCCAGGATCAGCACTTGCAGCCCTAACCCTCACTTCTCAATGAGACCAGTCTGTAGACAGACAGCAATCCTTGAAAGGAAAAAATGGTGGGGGTGGGAGGGAGAGGGTGAGGAGAGTTGTCTGGCACAAGTGAATATCTTCTCTTTCCTCCTGCTCTATGCTCAGCCATGCAGTCCAGGAGCTGCTGAAAACTCTCATGCTAAGTCTGCTCAGCTTCATGGGACAGTAAGGTTCCCCCCCCCCCCCCCCCGGCACCTGACTTCCCACTAGCTCACCTGAGTGCCCAAGGTACATTTTTGTACTCTTTCTCCCACAAATTCATGAAGCATATGTAAGGTGATTAAATTTTTTTTTCTTTATTGATTTTAGAGAAAGGGGAAGGGAGAGGGAGAGGGAGAAACATCGATTGGCCACCTCTTGCATGCCCCCCATTGGAGATCTGACCCACAACCTGGGCATGTGTCCTGACCAGGAATCAAACCAGCGACCTCTTGGCGTATGGGGCCGATGCCCAACCACTGAGCCACACAGCCGTGATGTAAGATGATTTTCACTGGAAGCTGACTTAAAATCACACTGGGTAAAAAGATACCCAGGTACACACTTGCTGACTCCTATGGCCCCCAGTCATCTGCCACCTCCGCCCCCCAACACATCCATGACACAAACACACTTTCTCAAGAGTCACCTAGATCTATCAGAGCTAGATCTTGAAGAGAGTCTTCATGGGCGGGGATCCAGTCTTTCCTTCACTGAATGGTTATTCATACTTTGGATACGGTGTTGAAGTCTGGTCATTTGTTACCCTTCCAAATGATCTGGTTGCTCCAAGGGCATGTTCCTAAATGGCTTTAATCTAACTATTTGAGGGAGGGGAGAGGAAGGCCTTTTCGAGATAAGGAGAATTGGATGTGCGTCACCAGCTGGTTAGATCCCTGGTCTGGATGCTCCAACACCAACAGCTTCCCCTCTTTCTGAGGGGAGAAAGATGAGCCTAAACGCAGGGAATCGCAGTTGGGTCTCTGACCCAGGGAACCTGTCCACATTAGCATCATTTTAAGAACTGTCACCTCATTAGGAAGATGCATGGGCTGAGAAGCTAACACGGGACGGAACAAGCTGAAAAACAGTATGTCTTCAGCTTAAAATTGTCTGGGATTCTTGACTACCACCTTCTCTCCACCCCAGGTTGGGTCATCTCTGATCTTTTAATCTTATAAATATTTTGCTCTTAACTTTTTGGTCTCAGAATTCAGTTAAATATAGTGTATTGCCTAAAACCAGGAAACTTGTTTAAATTACAGTTCTTAAGAGGCATGAAATTGGATGTTGAAAAGAGTAGGAACACCCACGAGAATCCTCTAGTGGGACAAGGGTCTGAAAAAGGAAGCGGATGACCCAGGATGACAATGCTTCAGTTCTCTGTTGAGAGAACACGCGCCGTCCACTGCGCTGCTTAGCTCTCCAGGGGCGGAAGCTGGAACTGGACTTTTGACAGGAATTGCCCCAACCTTGAAAGTGTTTCTTTGTTACTCTTAAACTGAGGAATTCGTGTTGTATCGCAATTCGTAATAAGGTGTATCATGGGGCAGAGTGCACACGGTTGGTGTTTTTATGGTAGGATAAAAAAGAAAAAAGAAAAGAAAAGAAATTAAGGACCCGGCGGCCTTCAGAAAGGTGAGAGACTCTGGCTTGAAACTGGTCACAGGTTACCCTTTAACTTCCCGCCCTCCCTCCGGACAGCTTCGGAGCAGAAGATTCAACTGACTTTTTTTGTACTAGGTTTTATTGATCCTAGAGTCTCGATTTGCTTTCCGAAGAAACGTGCCTCAGTGAACTGCCTTGCAGGCAGCCCCTCCTGTGTTCCCATTTATTTCCCTGGGCCGCGTCAGGGAGGGATGACAAGGCCAACCCAGAGTCGGCGTCTCTGGGGACGGATACCTGCATCAGATTCAGGCTCCGTAGCAGGCAGCCCGAGGCTGGCGCCTCTAGATCCCGCGCAGCGTCTGGGACGCCTTGGGAACTGGACCGCGTCGCCTTCAAAACCCACTGGCACACATTGTGCCAACTTTACAAGAGTCCTTGTAAGGTTCGGGGATAAGTTAGAACCCAGGCTGGAGGCCTGCGCGCCCCAGATATGGGGATGGCGAAATGCACCAACCCAGACCTGCCAGGCTGCAGGCAGTTTCTGTGCCTATCCCAAGAGAAGTGAGCTCCGCGCGTCATCTGCTCCCACCGTCCGGGCCGTCAGCGCGCACCCCTAGGACGTTTTGTAGCTGTGCGATGACGCCCTGTGCTGTTACCCTCGTGAGGACGGCTCTGAGCAGCGCGTGGGCAGGTGACCAGCGCGGCAGGCTGCAGGTGCCCTTGGAGTGGTGCGCCCCTCAGGTACTTGCCTGAGGAACAAGCTGGGAGGAGCAGGAGGAGCCCCTGACAGCGTAGACCCCGCCTCCATTCCGCCCTAGGAACTCCCAACCCGAAGAGAGCTTCTCCCGCCCCGGCGCCGCCGGCCGGGCCCCCGGCCCCCCTCCCCGCCGGCTCGGTGATTGGCTGGCGCTGCGGGTCCCTGGCACGCGCCTGTGGATGTAGTTATAAGAATCCTCGCGTGCCGGCCCTCAGCTGCAGCAAGTCGGCCACAGCCCTCCCCAGCGCAGCGCGGGCGCCGCCAGAGCGCAGCGGCCGCGGGCACTCCAAGGAGGCCGGGGGCGGGGAGCCGGCGGGCCGCCCCTACTGCCTCCGGCTCAAGGACCTGGGAGACCGGGAGGAAGGGGACTGCCAGACAAGCAAAAACTATAACATCAAACTTCCAGAGAGCCACTTCAGGCTACCAGCACCTCCCTCGGGCCTGCGGCAGCGCAGAGCATGGACGCGGTGCTGCTAGAGCACTTCCCCGGGGGCCTGGACGCCTTCCCGTCTCCTTACTTTGACGAGGAGGACTTTTTCACCGACCAGTCCTCTCGGGACCCTCTGGAGGATGGTGATGAGCTGCTGGCGGACGAGCAGGCCGAGGTGGAGTTCCTCAGCCACCAGCTGCATGAGTACTGCTACCGCGACGGGGCGTGCCTGCTGCTACAGCCCGCGCCCTCGGCCGCCCCGCACGCGCTCGCCCCGCCGCCCTCGGGGGGCCCAGGCGAGCCAGACGACGTTGGCGGCGGCTACTTCTGCGACGCGGGGGCGCCCTCCAGCGGCTTTCCCTACTCGCCCGGTTCGCCGCCCTCGTGCCTGGCCTACCCGTGCGCCGGGGCGGCCGTGCTGTCCCCGGGGTCCCGGCTGCGCGGCCTGAGCGGGGCAGCAGCGGCGCGGCGGAGGCGGCGGGTGCGTTCGGAGGCCGAGCTGCAGCAGCTGCGACAGGCGGCCAACGTGCGGGAGCGGAGACGCATGCAGTCCATCAACGACGCCTTCGAGGGACTGCGTTCTCACATCCCCACGCTGCCCTACGAGAAGCGCCTCTCCAAAGTGGACACGCTGCGCCTGGCCATCGGCTACATCAACTTCCTCAGCGAGCTGGTGCAGGCCGACCTGCCTCTGCACGGCGGCGGCCCGGGAGGCGGCCGGGGGCCCGGCGGTGGCGGGCGTCTGGGAGGAGACAGCCCGGGCAGCCAGGCCCAGAAGGTCATCATCTGCCATCGAGGCACCCGTAAGTGCGTTCGCATTCTAGCTCAGGGAGACGGGGACGAATGCGGGAAGGTCTTGGAGGGCAAATGGTCCGTGGGCACCGGCGACCTTGAACGCGAGCTGGCGTTTTTCAGGTTTTTCCCGCCACTTTGACCGTGGCTTAGAGGGCACACAACCACAGTGGACTGCAGCTAGCTCCTGGGATTCCGGGGAGGGGGGCGCTGGGGACTTGCAGAGTGGAGGGAAAGGGTCATTCCAATGTGACCTAAGACTCCTGTTGTGTAGAGGAGTCCGGGAATGGACCCTACAGGACTGGAGGGCTCAGCTGGGAATAGAGTTGGACATTCACACACTGTTTTCTCTTCTCACTTCCTCAGGGTCCCCCTCCCCCAGCGACCCGGATTATGGCCTTCCTCCCCTTGCAGGACACTCTCTATCATGGACTGATGAAAAACAACTCAAAGAACAAAATATCATCCGAACAGCCAAAGTGTGGACCCCAGAGGACCCCAGAAAACTCAACAGCAAATCTTCCTTGAACAACATAGAAAACGAACCTCCCTTTGAATTTGTGTCCTGAGAAATCCCAGAGTCCCCTGAGGATCTCATTATGTCTCTGTGCATATTGTACATGTAAATATCTATAATGTAAATGTAATTTAAGAATCACATTTTTTTCTAATGGCAATCAACTGTTTGTTATTTATCTATTTATTATGCTGTCAAGTTAATGAAATAGATTCTCTTTTTAAATATATAATTTATATAATTTATCCTGATTTTCTAAAAATATGCAATAGCCTATGATTTCCCCCCAGCACCTTTGGCAGAACGTTATTGGAAGAACTCTAGCTAGAAAATTCGCGCTAATTTATTGACAGATACGGTTTATTTCTAAGCGATGTTAATAAATGTTATTTACACCCCTTTCTAAAAGTTATTTGTTTAATACATGATGGGGGGAGGGGTAACTATAGCTCTAAAAAGAAGAATTAATTTACTTTGTAAAAGATAACCCAACCAGAGACTCAAAATGTAGCTATCTAGTAAGAAACCATATTCTAATGAGATTTAGCTGAAAGGGAGTGGATTGGAAGGTGAAGCCCCAACTCCCTTAGAGCACCCTTCTGCATCACCTGCCCTAAATAGTGACCTTTGCCTGTATTTTTTTTTTATCCTCATCTGAGCATATATTTTTCATTTTTTGTTCAGATAGAGTGGGAGGGAGAGAGAGGAAGACGAGAGAGAGAGAGAGAGAGAGAGAGAGAGAGAGAGAGAGAGAGAAACATCGATGTGAAAGGGACACATGGAGTGGCTGCTACCCGCACAACCTAACTAGGGCCGGGGATAAACTGCAACCGAGGCACGTGCCCTTAGTGGGAACCGAACCCGCGTCTCTCTGGACCGCACTTTGCCTGTATTTTCATCCTACCCTTCAAACACTCTGTGAGGCAAGTAGATCATGGTGCACTTATACCCACTTTTCAGAGGGAAAAACTGAGGCTTAGAGACGATGTTTGACTTACCCAAGGTTACCCCTACTCTTCTTAATCATAGTGTATGAACTGAATTCGCTGTGTGCGGTGGGAACAGGAGTCTAGTTTCGGGCCTGGCCTTTGGAAGGGGTCTTTGTGCTTCCACCGGCTGGTTGCTCTTGAGCTCCCCTGTGGCCTATCCCTTCCGCAACTGCAGCATCGGGTGCATGGAACTTAGACATATTCCTCTTAAAGGAGATTGATTGGGCAGGTGACTGCGGATACTGAGACCCGGAAACCCCTCGAATGCCTTCTAACAAAATCCAGGGTCCTCTAGGTAAGGCGAGAAGAAGCATGCCCTCTTCCGCAGCCACTTCTGCAAATGGGTTATTTCTAAAACTGCGTTTCGCCTCCAACAGAATTTCGTCTTTGGCAAGCAGCCTGGTCTGGGAAGAAAGTGAGCCTAGCGCGGAGGGCGGAGGGACGCCCCCTAGCGACGGGGAGAAGCTCGAGGGTGCGGCCGGGGTCGTTCAACAGGAAAGCCCTGGAAAGTCCGGGCTGCGGCGGGCGGGTCTCCTTCGCCACTATCCGCGGCTCCTGGGCCCTCGGGGCGCCTTCCCTTGGCCCAAGCCCGAGCTTGCCTTGGCTGACCCGGGGCCCGGAGCGCGCTCAGACGCCGCGGGCGCGAAGGGAAAGTGTGGAGCAGCCTGCGTGCCGCAGGCGCGCACCTTCCCGTGGATCAGCCACCCCCGCGCAGCGGAGCCGACCCAGGAGAGTTTGCTCCATCGCAGGTACCCGCCTGGTCCTCGAGGGTACAATCAGGAATTTTTCCGGTGCCCAAGGACAATATGTCTGCAGCATGTTAATTGCTTTAACCTAGTTTCAGGCCCACCGAGGGGTTCCCCACGCTCCGCGGGTGCTATGGACGTCGTCCAAGAGCAATTAAAGCGAGGCCGCGAGCCCGACCCCGCAGCCCGGCCCAGCCAGACACTGGGAGATGCCGAGTCTCGAAAGTCCCAGGAGGCCCTTGGCCGTGGACCCTCTCACCCCTTCCAGCCAGCGCAGCCTCTCCCTTCCCTCCCCCTGATAGATGGCGATTTCACACTGGAGTCAGAATTTGGGAACTAGAGAAAATAATTGGATTTTGTCCTGTATTAGGGTCTCATTAAACACGAAAGTTGCTTTTGCACAAATGCTTCTATCAGGCATGTAATCTCATTACACTCATTAGAAAGTCAAATGTTAGGCAGACTTCTACTTAATTATAAGTTATGTAAGTATTGTACGTTTCCTTGGGCTGTGTAGACCTGCGTTTCAATTGGATTTGGTAATGTGGCACTCTGCAGTTAAAACACTACAATCATTGTGATGTGGCACCTTTTATTTTGCGTGCCACTTTTTTTGTGATTCAATGCTTCAACACATCCTTTAGTGCGGTGCAGATGAAGCGGAAGAGCCAGGCTGAGCCTGTAAAACACCAGGGTCTCTATCTTGTCACTCTTCTGTCCTGACTTGGCAAGTCCCTTTAAACACAACCTTCAAAGAGACTGACAGCTTCTTTTTATTTACTCATAATCCATTCATTCTAGTGTAGCAATTCTTTTAAAAATGCGGCAATAAAAGCAAAACAAACGTATCATTTCAGAGTCTCCTTTGGCGTCAGAGAGGCCTGAGCTGCGCTTGGTGCAGGGGCTGCTCTCCTGTGGCAGTGCCAGGCTGAAGAGCCTCTGGACCAGGCATCTCTGGCCAGCAAATACAGCAGCCAGACACTGGAAGGAACTGTAGGGGGGCACTTTCTTTGAGTGACAGGTTGATTCAGCAGTCCTTCTAAGTCAACACTTTTCTTCCAACTTAAAAAATATATATGTATGAAAATAATTGATATTTATCAATTATTTTTTATGGCTACAGAGACCTTTTTTCTCAGCCTTGCTCTTCTGAACATCCATT